AAAATGTTTCTAGGTGACTAAGGAATTTGTAATTAGTTAGCATTAAGATGTCTCCACACATATTATCAGAAAGTAGACAATATGCTGTTAAGAAAATATTCAAATATATCACTAGGAAATGAAGTAACAAAGGGGACTGTTGTAATAATATACAAAGGGAAGACACTAGTATCCTTAAGGAAACATGTCACTTTTATTTACAGCTCTCCAAGAGAGAAGGTACATTTTTTTCACCCTAGATAAATATTCTTGAAATATTTCACCCTTTATAAATATTCATGAAAGAAGGTGATTCATAATTAAATATTAAAATAAAGTAGATGGAATAATGGTTCAAGTCCTGTACCTGGGGCTTAAAACTCACTCTGGGCACATATGTATGAGTGCCCAAGATCCCAAGAGGGGAATGGAGGAGAAGGGATTGCAGCATGGCCATACCTCCTGGGTGGAGGGGGGCGGGGGTGATTTCTCACTTTCTGTCTCTCTGTATCTCGCTGTCTTTTTGGCAGGCACACATGCCCGATAGCAAAAATCACTCTAAAAAATTAATAAATAAAATAAAGTATTTACTCTTTAAAACCATTAATTTCCTTTTGGTTGATTCTTAACTCGATAGCTCTTTCTGTTTTGTGTGTCCCCTAGGTTTCTCTTCCAAGCCAAGACAGTACTAACAACATGACTATTAGGTATGCTCACAAATTGTATTCCTGTTATTGAAGAACAGTGAGATAATAGGAAGCCATGGATAACTAGATGAGATACACAATCGTTGATTTATTTTTGGATCATGGAGGGGGGGAATGCCTTAAAGAGCAATAATGGGAAAATTAAAGAAAATTATAGATTATGTATTAGCTACTAACATTTTTGTCAATGTTAAACTTCCTGAATTAGATCAATGTTCTGTGGTTTTATTAAAGAATGATCTTATTCCTAGAAAACTATGTCAAAGTATTTTGTGGTGAAAGGACATAATGTCTAAAGGTTATTCTCAAGTTTGTCTCAAGGGAAAAGGAAAACATATCTAGATAGAGAATGGGAGTGATAAAGTCAAGGAAGAAAAATATCAAAAATTAGTGAATAAAAGGGTATTTCTGAACTATCATGGCAGCTCCTTTAAAATTTTGAAATATTATTTTATTTATTTATTTTTTTGAGAGAGATTTTTGCTACATGGTGTGTGCACTCACCAAAGAGACAGAAAGCAAGAAATCAAGCCCCTAGGATGATGGTCATGCCACAATCCCTTCTCTTCCGTTCTTTTCTTGGGATCTTGGGCATGCATGCACACATTCCCAGTGTGAGTTTTAAGCCTCCAGATCCAAGACTTGAATCAGAGTTGATGATGTGGAAATCCAGAGATATAACCATTATGCAACCTGCTGGTGGTCCCAAAAGTTTGAAATTATTTTAAAATAAAAACTTTATAAACCATCAGTACTAGCCTAAATCAGTTTTTGTGTTTTCATACTTACCATAATTTTCTCAGCCTGATGAATCTTTAAAGAAGTGACTCTACAAAAGAAAACAAAATTCCTAAAACTGGTGAAATCAGGGTTGCATGATGTCAGCCTTCTATGAACATGTCTATAAAACTCAGAGATGCCCATTTTTAAAAAACAAATTCTTGTAAAACTACTCAGCACATAGCACTAAAGTAAATGTTCAGAAAGTATTGCTATACCTTTGGCATAGATATTTAGTAGGTGATAAAGTTGACTTTCTAATGATTCAGGAATTATCCTAGATGTTTATGGAGCAACTGGTTTTCTCTGGATAAATCCAACACCCGGAATCTGGTTGGAACCAGTTAAGAGACATGACCTCGAGCCATCTCAAGGCCTCATAGACCGTTCTTTGGTCTTGTCTTTGGAGAAATACCGTTTTACTTTTTCACAGAATGTCAGAATGGCTATTGAAATATTTCTTCTTCATTTGTGTCTTGACTCAGGATATTATTTCCAAACAGTCATGGTCCTAGTGTGCTACCACAGAGAGTTTCTGGATCCTCCTGGCAGTTAACAATTTTGGTATCCAGGGAATTTAGCTAGCATATGTAATTCTCCTTCTTATATGATCTTTTATCATAAAAATGAGAAGGCTCAAATGCATCTCCAAAGAACATAAAAATATCCCATGATAAATGAGCAAAAAAAAAATAAATAAACAAAAAAAACTCCAATGAGGAACTTGTGTTTAGTATGAAAATGTAACCTGGCTCTCAGAAATTCACCAGAACATAAGAATTTAGTTGATGGTACACGTATACAAGTGTAATTAAAAAAATCTAAGTGAAATTAGACATTCAAAAAATTGCAGGCATTGCCCAGAGCAAAGGTCTTTTGAGTCTATTCCTCCTTCCCAAATTATGTGAAGAAATGGATTAAATTCTCTATCTTCAGTTGACTGTCTTTTGAGTTAGTCACAGAAACTTAAGAAAAATATTTTTCTTTATTTCTCCTGAGCTATTTCAAAATAAAGCTACAAATATGTGTTTTTAAAAACAACAACAAAAGAAGCAAAAACAAAAGGGGGAAACAAAATAAAAAAGAACACTAGGCATTTGAAAATCTGTAACTGGTACTGCTTCTGCCCAAACAGTTCATCCCTACTTCTGTTGCTTAGCATGGTATTGCTGGAGATGAAAATACTTTCTACTCTGTGGACAGTGCGATCATAGCTATGACGTTTCTTACTGTATTTCCTACAGCACATAGGCTAATAAGATACCTTAGAACTCTTCAAGATTTTCAAAATTATTGCCTGGATAGCCTTAACACAAAGAGTGAAGTACAAATAATGTCTAAAGGCTCAGGATAAGCTAATGTAAAACAGATATTTTCTGTTTAATCCTGTAATGTCTTATTTATACAGTGAAGATTTAATTTTCAAATATTTAAACTTGCTTCTGGCTTGTGTCTTGTTTCCTGCACAGCCGTCTTTGTCATACATTAAAAAAAATGTTCAGGTGGGATGTCAGTATAATATTAACTTGTATGCCTATTAATTTATTTACACATGGTTTTAAACATATCATTAAAAAATGTAGGCACTTTCTGGTTTTAAGACAGTACAACCCTCCTCTGTAGATATTTTTCCTTCTCAAAATCCAAAGACCTTTCAGGTCTCCCTAAGACTTTGGTTCCTATGGCTTTAAAACCGGTAATTATGTCCCCAAAAGGTAGTTCAAACTCAAATCATAGAGGCCCACAAAAGTTTGAGAAACTCTTGAAATTGGAGGTAAAATGATTTCAGGTGTAAGGAGCTAATGAATTTTGTTCTTTCTTACACTATTACATGGGGCTGTGGCACTTCTCACAGTGCCTGAGGTTATTGAGGTGTCTGTTAAGTAAAATGATAAGTTCAATTATTTACATAAACTATCAATCTGAAAAAAAAGATTATCCTAGAGATTACTAGGCTTAAGTGTTGAGTTCCTGAATAAAGAATGCTTTAGAATATGTACAATAATATACAATAGTCACTTGATTTGATTTGGGAAGTTTCTAGGTTATTTCTTATATGGAAGCACAACAGAATAAAAGCATAAACAGAAACTCTTTGTTATGAAGGAGTATATATTTAAAGCCTGGTGCAGTTAGTTTTCTAAAACATGTTTTTTTTTCAGCTGTTCCCTTTTAAGGTATCTTTTTAGAGCACCAAGTGTTGCTTCATTGCATAGCAAAGCACCTTCAACATTATATATATGTATATTCAGTTAAATGAGGATGGGGGAAGGCAAAGTCTTTGCTGAAATAAATTTGGACCAAAAAAAAATAAAAAAAAAAAACACTTTATCAAAACAAAACTAGGGCAGCCAGGGATGTGGTGGTTAAGCCATCTGGTTGACTGCACAGTTCAAGTCCTAGACCTGGTGGTTCAACAAACATTCCTGGTGCATGTGTGTGCATATCCAAAATTCCAAAAAGAAGGAGAAATGAGGAGAAGGGATTGAGAAGTGGCTCTCCCTCATGAAGGAGGGATACCTCTCTTCCCCTCACCTCTCTGTAAGCACAAGTGTCCTCTGGCTAATTACAGAAACAAACAAAGACCAAAACTACACAGTTTTTAGGACTTTTCAAGACCTAGCATATGCTGTTAATAAGCACTCTCAAAGTCTAAAAGAGAATATATTGTGGAGAATTCTTTCCTTTTTATTTTTTTGTTGGAATATTTTCTGAGACATAGTGTGTCAAACCTTTTCCCTTTTATTTACTGCAAATTAGTGCATCGTTAAGGTTTGTATCCAGTTAAATTTGTTTCATGAGGCCATTTCCAATTCTCTCAGTCAGATTCTATCACTACCCTGTTGGTGTATTATTGTACTCTTAGGGGTTTTAGAATCTTCATTTCTCTTTTATGTCCCCTTCTCTTTGGGAAGTATAGAGATGGTGTCTTTGTTCACCACTAAATTAAAGTACCTTGAAATGATGGCCCGTTTGTTACTCATTTGTTTCATTCATTGATTGATTCATTTATTATTATGCCAGAGGGCATGTGTGAACAAGCCAGTGAGTGAGCGAGTGAAAGAAAGACAGAACCCTCTAACAGGACCTGGTCATGCCACAATCCTTTTTTCCTACAATACTTTCAATGCTCCATGCTATCAGGATTCTGGAATCCTGTGTGCCTGGAGGGTAAGCCACTAGGACTGGGACTCAACCCATGGACATCCACGTATGATCTGGCCTCCCCTGCATGGTGCTTTCCTGCTGCACTGGGTCACCTGTTTTCTACAACACCTAACATGGTGCTCAGAGCTTTGTAGGAACTTGTGAATGCTTGCTGATGGCTGGATGCCCTCTACCTAAAATGGGAGCTATAGATTTCAAAACTCCTCTGGAAAGTAAGATAGATTTCTTTACCCATTTGAGAATGAGTGAATTAAACTATTTCTGAATGCATCCTGATGTTCAGTTTAATACTGTTCTCAAGTGACAGGGTGTTACATCAATATAACCCAAATTTCTACTGAAAAAAAAATTCAACTTTAACAAAAATCATGCAGATTTGTTTTTATTAAACTTTATATTCAGGTTACAGCTAAGTATTTCAGGCATTGCATCATGTGACAATCAGACATGACATTCTAGGGAACATTTTAAGACACTCCAAGGACATCAGAACTACTGGGAGCAGAGCAGCTGACTCTGCAGTTAACATGTTAAGTATTTCAAGGAGTCATTAAGGGAAAGCAGCTAAATGGCAGCTGGTGCTCTTCTATGAAATGATTATCCTGGAAAAGAAGCCACAATGAGAAGCACATAGTTACAACAGAGCTAGAGAGATCTCATGCTCAAATCCACTCTTTTTATTTAGCATAGGACTTGGGCTCACATATCAGAAGACAAATTATTTCAGAATAAGCTACATGACAAGTTTTCTATGTGTAATATTAATACGAATATGATTAGCTTATGTTTTTTAAAAAAATCAAGAACAATTTCATATTTGAAACCCACTATCTCAGTGACTGTAGGAGATGCTTAGCTATCAAAGAGTCTTCTCTTCCACTCGTATTGTTTCTTTAGGAGTTCTTCTGAGAGATTTTCATCGTGACTGTCTTGACCTCTACGTATTCATGGAAACCATATTCTCCCCTAGTGAGAGAGGAAAAAGATACACACACCACCATTTAGCACAGCTATGCAAATGAGCTCTCATCCATGATTTGGTACAAGTGTGTTCTTGCTTATCTGAATGAAGACAATAGAAAATATTTTCTGAGTTCAAACTATTTCATATAGTAACTAGCCAAGTATAAGATATCTGGTCTTATCATCTAGTAGAGAAAATTAAAAAAAATTTTTTTCAATTTTTTAAATACCAGAGGGCAAGCGTGCTCACAGAAAGAGACATAGAACGAGAAAGAGAAAGAACCCCTCCCAACATAGTTCAGTCATGCACAATCTTGACACCTCCATCCCTTCATCCTGTCAGGAGCCTGGGCATGTCCACATATGTACCTGGCGGGCCTCACACCTGGCAGGCCTCATCCCTGCAGCCAGGTCTGCCACTCTATCACAGTTTTGACCATGTGAGGTGCAGTCTTCTTTTTTTTTTTGAGAGGTTTTTGCTATAGGGCGTGTGTGCTCGCCAGAAAGACAGAAAGAGACAGAGAGACAGAAAGCGAGAAATCACCCCCCAGGGGGGATGGCCACGCTGCAATCCCTTCTCCTCCATTCTTTTCTCGGGATCTTGGGCACGCATGTACACGTGCCCAGAGTAAGTTAAAGCCACCGGGTCCGGGACTCGAACCACAGTTGACTACATGGGAGTCTAGTGACATAGCCATTATGTCAACTGCTGGTCCCTTTCTTTTTCTTTTCTTTTCTTTCTTTTCTTTTCTTTTCTTTTCTTTTCTTTTTTTTTTTTTTTGAGATGCAGCCTTCTTAACTACTAGGTCATGGGGCCAGCCCAACATTTCTTTTGTTTTGTTTTCAATAATCAGTACTTTCAGTTGATTTTTGCAGAAATTGTTCTTTTTTTGACATTATTCTATTTGATTATAAAATTTCTAACTATTTAAAAGATAGTTCAACCCTCCAAGAATTTTATCATTTCTCATTTATATTTAAATAAATGAGACTGAGAGAAGAGAAGAAGCAGTAATAGATAATCATTCAAGAATAGAACAGTGATGTTGTAATCTGAAGTGCTGGTCATGTTTATCATGTGCGATTGGCAGAGATGATAGGTGATGAAGGGTCTGAAAATGACCATGCTTCTGTTTTCATTCTAAGATATCCTAATGTGGCTTAAAACAATATATTTTCCAGGAGTAGTTTTAATCCTATCTTTTAATTCTTAGCAAAACAAAAGCATGACCTTTATTATTATAAATTTCTTTTTTTTTTTTTTGAGAGGTTTTTGTTATAGGGCTCGTGCACTCACCAGACAGACAGAGAGAGACAGAGAGACAGAAAGCGAGAAATCACCCCCCAGGGGGGATGGTCATGCCGCAATCCCTTCTCCTCCATTCTCCTCTCGGGATCTTGGGCACACACACACACACGCGCCCGGCGTGAGTTCTAAGCCACCGGGTCTGGGACGCGAACCGCGGTCGACTACATGGGAGTCCAGCAACATAGCCATTATGCTAACTGCTGGTTCTTCTCCTGAGTCTTCTAAAATTGTTTATTCGTTTTGCTTTCCAGGGGGAAGAGAGTAGCCTGGGTTAATTTGGGTGTTTTCCCCTTTATACAAGCTCTCTTATCTCCTGCCATTTGTTTATATAACTCCTATTTGTTATTGTTTAAATAGAGACTGCGTGCATGCACAAGAGAAAAAGAGTGAGAGACAGAGACAGCATTTACTCTACCAGGTCTAGGAATGTTGTAATCCCCTTTCCCTAATCTTCCAGCTCCTCGGGATCCCAGGTGCCTTTGTTTTTCCAGCCAATTCAGTGTCCAGATCTTGGTTGCCACATGGCTTCCAGCACTTCAGGGAGCTAGCGTTATTGCTGCCTCACTGCATCTGGGCCTTCTTATGTAACTCTCAAGTCCAACTCAAGTAGTCAGGAATTAACCTAAGTCAATCAAAGTGGACCCTGGGATCTTGTTCTCAGGTTTATGAAGGCCTCCTACCAGTTCTGGAAACCAACTGCACTTAACTCTTTGTTGAAGAGATAACCACAAAGATTGGGCTCAGTTATTCTCTACATTGTTTTGATGAGGGAATCAAATTACATGTATATAAGCGTATTCTTAAAATGATAACACCCATGCACATGTAGGCTTATGGGGGAATAAGATATGGATCTTTTTCTCTTCCTCCTTGTGATGTAGACAGGTATGTAGAGGACATCTTTTTTTTTTTTTCTCCTGAGTAACCTAATCCCCTTACACTGATTATTTTCTTGGGCAATTAAGCTTCTGAAAATACCTTTTAAAAGCTTCAATGAGCATGTTCTTCTAAGTAATTAAAGGGTTTAGCTTCAGTTGTCTGAAACCCATTAAAAGATAATATTTAGTAAGTTATTTTATCTTGAAGAGCTAGATAAATTAACCCATGATTTTCACCAATAGGCTTTCCATTGTATTTTGGGTTACATAGGTACTTGAAATTCCCAGGCGAGTGTTAAATGTGATTATTGTGACACTCAGGCTGAAATTGTTCCTGCTTCTTAGGATTCCTGTGTGTACATTATATCTGTGATAAAATACAAACACCTTTGCTTGCCTTTCTCTTTATTTTTCTAAGCCTGTGCATTCCTAGTTCCGTACTTCTAAAATCTTCCATATGCTAATCACCTGGGACCGTATTAAAATATTGATTCTGATCCATTATGTCTAGAGTGAGGCCTGAGATTGCATTTTTAATTAGCTTGTAGGTGATACCTGTGCTTCTCATCCAGGGATCAAGCTGTAAGCAAAAAGGCACTAATAAGAAGTTACATGTCTTTTTTTCTCTGTACCCCAAACTAAAACTGGCACTAATTATCAAGCAAGAATTTTCCATCTGAGTTCTTGCAACAAGCCTAGCAGTTCACACTACTTCCTTGCTCCTCTTTTCTGAAAGAGACAGGAGAAAAGAAATACACATCTAGTGAGGTACTGAGAGTCAATTAAGTTTAAAATTACCTACTAAACAAAGTCTCAAGTGACCTATGTTAACTCAGTGAAAAATGAGTGCAGCTACACAAAGGGAGGGATTTCTGTCATTGACAGCATTTCAGTGCCCACACCACAATCAGAGGTGGCAAAGGTGCGATCTGGGTGCGTTGCATCACCGTCAAACATGCTGGGTCTGCAGACCACTCTCGGGGGCTCTTTCAGAACTCTGTTCCCAGCTGGTTCATTCTGCTTGTCTACTTTTGAGCACAAATTGTAACTTAAGCCTCGAAGGGTCATTTGAGGTTATCACTTCAGTAATTCTCTCAAAATATCTTGCAGCTAATGACTGGTTTATTAAGCTCGCCAAGTTCAGTTTCAGGTAAACTTTGACAGTAGCATTTGCAGTTAGATTTTTGAAATAAAATAAAAAAAATACAGCATAACGTTTTTCTTTATATTTTAAAGAAAGATATGATCAGGTCATCTGGTGACATGGTGGTTAAGGTGGCTGGATCCCACATGACTGATGACATGTACCTTATTCATAGCAAATACTTAATGCCTGCATATTGAAAAAGTAGACACGTCATTATTTTTAAGAGAGATTTTTTGCTATAGGGCATGTGTACGTGCCAGAGAGACAGAGACAGAGACAGAGAAAGTGAGAAATCACCACCACCACCCGCTCCCAGGGAGGATTGTCACGCCACAATCTTTTTTCTCCATTTTACTCCCGGGATCTTGGGCACACATGCACCCGAACCCAGCATGAGTTTTTTTTTTTTTTTTTTTTTTACTTAATTTTGCTATTATTATTTATATTTTTAAAAATTTTACCAGAGAGAGACAGACAGAAAAGGAAAGTGAGAAAGCAAGCCACCAAGTCCAGGACTTGAACCATGGTCTGCCATGTGGGAGTCTAGCACCTTAACCACCATGCCACGTGCAAGCCCCCAGCCTGAGTTTTAAATTGCCACTTCCAGGACTGAAACTGCTATCAACTGTGTGGGAATCCAGTGATGTAACCATTACGTCATCTGCTGGTCCCAATAGATAAACCATTTTATCATTCTTCTATTGCACTGGCTCCTCAGAGATATTTGTTTTATTGTAATTTTGTTGATTACTTAAAACAAATGACAAAGTACATACCTACTTAATGTTGTCATGATTATTAGACATTAAGAAGGACTCACTTTTACTGCTATTTACAGAATGGAAAGCTTTACTATATTTGATTCCATAAGGTTTATATTTGACTTGCCTTCTTTGTTCACATATTTTTAATAGTTATTCCTAAATGTTAGAAAATTTTTAAAATAAAATGGTTAAAATTTCTTCAACAAAATTAATCAGGACACTGCTACTTTCTGTGTATACATGTATGTGTACACATTAAAAACAAATCTATATATCCTTGATCCAAAAGCAACTGAAGGGTCATAATTGCATTTGTATATAAATAATCTTAATCTAGTCATTACTATGAAACATGTTTTCACAGTAAATTTAGATTTCAACTTTAGTACCAAAAATAATTTGTCCTGGTAATTTAAAATTTTATTTTTAATGGAATTATTTATTTAATTTTATTTACTATGACTATTATTTTTAAATTTTCTATGGGGCACATGCACTCACCAGAGAGAGACTGAGAGAGAGAAAGAGGGAGAGAGAGAAAGAGAGAAAAGAAGCCACAGATTTAGGACTCAAACTGTGGTCAGCTATGTGGGAGTCCAATGCCTTAACCACCACACCATCTGCTGGCCTCAATTCAAAATTTTGGTCTACATCAATAGTTTCATTAAAATAGTATGTTAGCAAATGAGAGTTATTCCTCTTACACTGAAGTCTTTTAAGATATGGCACTTAATTTACTTATGTATGAGCTATATTCAGAAGTGCTCATAACTTTGCTAATTGTAATGATCAATTTCTATTTTCTACCTTTTCTGGAATTGTTTCCCAAATGAATTAGATTAACATATATAGCAAGTGACTCTAAAAGTAAGTAATATTTCAGTTGCCAATGTGAACTGGTTAACATGGTCCCATTATGTACAAAAGGAGCCTAATCAATTCTGTTTTCCTCTGCCATCATCTCTCTGTGCTCACAGGATATAGTCAACATTAATAAGTTATTTGGTGATAAACATGAATATCTGGGAAAGAACAGAGACAGGTTTTATTTATAGTGGCAACTATGGATTAATTCCTGGGTAATCAAAACCATTTTTATCAAGATAAATATTTATCTTAATAGAAAGTTATTCTTACAATTCTCGTCCATTTCCAGACATCTTGAATCCACCAAAGGGGCACTGGGCAGTTACCACGCTATAGCAATTCACCCTGGAAGACAGAAAAAAAATACATTATATACAATACTTAGCCTGTGAAATAATTTCTAAGTTGTGAATTTTAGAAATTCAGAGTTTCAGAAAGCACTCCATTCATTTCAGTGTAGCATTCACGGCAATAGAAGAGCAGCAGTATAAAGAGTGCAGAGGTCTATAGACATATACTTCCTATGAACAGATAGGGTGGTGCTGTCATGTGTGGGCAGCCATACCAGTAGCACATCAAGCCCCTGGGAAGTGGTGGGTTGAACTGCAAAGAATTGACTAGCCAGGACACCATAGGATGAGGGACAAAGTATGCTAGAGACTGGAATTGCTGGATGGGTGTTTAGTTGTATTCACTACTGGTATTCTCTCAAGGACTATGTACCTAACAGACTACTGTCAATTTTCTTTTGCAATTGCAATCTAAAGTACAACAACCAGAGATATGAACTAGGTTAAAAAAATGAGACAGACATGTTCCTCAGAACTCAATATATTCTTCTAAATTAAGGACTTCAGACATCTCTAATAATCCCAGAGTAAGAAGGTGATATAAAAATTCATGTGCATCCACATGAGTACCAAATAAATATTGTCTTACTTAATGAAAGTTGACTAAAACAGAACTTTTCTTTTATCCCCCTTGTATATAGTGAAGTGCTTGATACTTAGAAATTACTTAGCAACACTTCTATTATACTAATAAAATATCAATAAAATATTTTGAGTAAGAAATTTCAGAAGGCTGCATACAGTTAAAGAAAATATGCTCTTGGGACCAGCAGATAGCATAAAAGCTATGTTGCTGGACTCTCATGTAGTCGACTGTGGTTTGAGTCCTGGACCTGGTGGCTTAAAACTCATGTCGGACATGTGTGTGTGTATGTCCCAGATCCCAAGAGGAGAGTGGAGAAGGGATTACATCATGGCCATCCCCCCTGGAGGGTGATTTCTCGCTTTCTGTCTGTCTCTGTCTCTCCGGTGAGTGCATAGGCCCTATAGCAAAAATCTCTAAAAAACAGAACAATATACTTCTAGAGTTTTTATAACATAGCAGGGCTTTAAATTAGGTAATTGATTAATTAACTTAGGGCAACAACTGCTTTTGTAACAGGCCTTGTATCCAAGTGTGGAAAGGCTGAAGGTGAACATTAATATGGGTAATATGAACACGAAAAGGGCTTCATTACTTAGGTCTCACTTACCAGACTGTCCCGGCCTGGAGAGCAGAGGAGACCGTTACAGCCTTGTCAATATCTTTGGTAAAGATCCCTGCTGACAAGCCATAGGAAGTATTATTTGCTCGTTTGATCACATCATCTAAAGATTTAAACTTCATAATTTGCTGCACTGGTCCAAATATCTGTAACATAAGAAATGAACTTGATAAACCCAAATAATAGGTTACAATTACATATTTTAAATGACATTATAGCTTTTTTTCCTTTGAATTATCTTGAGGAGCAGACTACGGTTTTGCTTAGCTCAAACCTACATGTCAGAACTGAAATATGGAGGAGTAGAAAATGGTAGCTGTAAACAAGTAATGGCCACACATTAAATTTAACCAGACTGTGATTAGCACAGCCCAAACCCAACTCATTCTGTATTTCAGTCTTAGGTAGGAGAAAAACAATTGGATTTTCACTTAAAATTTAAGCTTCTGTATTTCAATAAAACATTTATTAAGATTAAATAAATAGATTTTCTGAGTGTTATCAGAATCTTCTGGGAAATGTGAATGAAAAAAGGCAAAAATTAATTTACGCATTAGAGGGATGGAAGCTACCATTCAAAAGAGACTGAGTACAAATCCTAAAATTGGTAAATCTTGTTAATTATATTGTTACCTAGAGATCAGTTTATAGCACCCACTGCAATAAATGTGTCCATACTTTACATATTTTTAATTGAAGTCAGTATATGGCTTCAGGCTCCCACTTTAACGTAGCAAGTTAACTGTTCCATGTGTAATGGAGGGCCACGATAAATGTTTCTTTTTAAAATATTTTTCCCTAGTCCTTTCTACTTGGTATTTGTCAAAATATGCAATAACAATAGCACTAACTAGACATGTATTTGTTAATAATTGCAGAAATTATACTGTGGTTGAACACTGAATGGATGTGGTAAAACTAAGTATGTTTGATTATCCAGATGCTTCTGCTTTCCGCTTTGCATTTCCTGTGCATTTCCTCTGTTTGCAGGGCTGATGGTGCAGTTCTTTCCTGGTTTGATAATATTTTGCACGATAAAGAAAATAAACCTTTTAGATTTCTTATCATATCAGGGACATGAAATAAAAATATGTTCAATGAAAGAATTAAGATTCGGTGCCTATGAGTTGTCAATGCTGCTTCATCGTATTGTATTAGAGAACACCTTTGTAAACCAAAGCCAGTGCATCTATCTGTATTTTTAAAAGCCCTCAGTGTCCCTGAGGTAGATTCTTTACAATTCCTAAATGTAAACTAGCTTTTTGTAGTTATATGTCATATCTCTGGATAGTATTTTTCTTCATGTTAATTTGTGTTCACCAAACATTTAACACGTGCAACATATTATATAACTATGTGTAAATGTATTAGGGGTAAATATAAATATTAATTCCCTATATCACTCTTCACCCTTCATGTTCTCTTGGTCTTATATTTTCTAGCTCTTAGACTTCTTAATTTTGTATACTGTAATGAAATATTTGGTGAAAAAATATATATATTTATATATGTAAGGCACATATACCACCCATCCATATAAGCATATATGTATATATGAGACTTCAAAAAGTACAGGAAAAAATGGAATTAAAGTAATAGTTCATTTTGTTGCAAAAATTTTTTTGAAGCCCATGTATAGTGCTTTTCTAATATACATTCCCCATGAATTTTCTGAAGATCCCCTAGAGGATTACACATAATTTAATATTGTAGTAAATATTTTATGACTCTCTCTATATATATAGTACATATACACATGTATATATGTTCGTTTACACATTATATGTATATGCTCACCAAATATTTAACTACAGTGCACAAAATTAGCATGTCTAAGAGCTGAGAAATATAAGGCTAAGAGCACACGAAAGGTGGGAAACAATGTAAGTGATGAACGCTATTTTGAAATATGCAGATATGCTGATGACTCTGATATAGGAGGAGAACACACCGCAATTATGGGCCTGTAGGTCATAAGTACTTATTTATTTTGGGGTGAGAACACTTAAAATCAGCTCCAGCAATTTTCAAGTATATACATTGTTAGTAACTATTGTCACCATGTTTGGCTGAAACACAGGATGAGTAGCTCTCTTGAACTTACTCTTCCTCTCTAACTGGAAATCTGTACCTTTGTACTCAGTCCCACTCTGTGCCCACCCAACCCAAAGCTCCTAGTAACCACCATTCTACCCTCTGCTTTGATGAGTTTGACTGTTTTTAGATTCCATGTCTAAGTAAGGTCCTTATTTGTCTTTTTTTGCCTGACATATTTCACTTAACATGTCCTCCTCTTGGTTCGTCTATGTTGTTGCAAATGACAAGATTCTTTCTCGTTACTTTAAAGCTGTCAAGAAAACACCCATAAATTGTTAAGCATCTTGATTTGCGTTTGGTTGGAAGTTCTTGGCTGGTTTGATGGATTCCTTCCTACTTTTGATCTGGATCACACATAATTTAATCCTTAGTCAATAATAGAAATGAAGAGTAACATTTACTAAGAAAAATACTTAAAGAGCTGAGAATATTAAGACGCTCTGTATACACATACGTAGGCGAAACACGGCAATAAAGAACAGAACAGAATGAAGCCATTTACCTCCTCTTTGGCAATACGCATCTCATCCGTAACATTAGAGAACACGGTGGGCTGGATAAAGTAGCCTTTATTCCCCCATGGGCCCCCGCCACATTCCAGTTTGGCCCCTTCTTTCTTCCCACTTTCAATGAGGTCAAGTATTTTATCATGTTGTTCCTTGTCAATCTAAAAAGTATCATATGAAAAGGATTTAAAAAAAAAAACCTAGCAATTTGTGAAGATAAAACATCGCTAGATAGAGATGGCTTCAAAATGTTAGGATTGCTATTAAATCAAATACTGAACCATGAAAGCTAGTAGTCTCAGATTCATTTTTGAAATACATGTGTTTTCTTTTCATGACTTTTTTTTTTTTAAGTTTACTTATTTATTTCATGAGAGAGAGAAAAAGACAGACAGACAGATAGGCACGCTCAACAGGGTCTCACACCACAATCTTCCCACCAGCCATCCTATCTACCTAGGATTGCAGGCATGTGCCCCATGTTCAGCTCGTACAGGGCAACGTGGGAACCAAATCCTGTTGTTCTGTATGGCTTCAGCACTGCAGAGTGGTATGCTAAACCTGTCCTACCACACCTGGGCCCTCATGATTTTTAGGAAAGAAACCTTGAAGACAGATACTTATTTGTCAGACAGTTAGGCAAGAAAAGCGTATTGGCACTGCGAACACATAACCCTTTCACACAACTGCGAATTATTCACTCTGGAAGAAATGCCTATTAATAATATAATGCATTTGGGACCAGCAGATAGAATAATGATTACGTTGTTGGACTCCCATGTAGTCAACCATGGTTCAAGTCCTGGATCCAGTGGCCTTAAACTCACACTGGGCGTATGCATGTGAATGCCCAAAATCTTGAGAAGAGAATAGAGAAGGGATTGTGGTACAGACATCCTCCCAGGGGGTGATTCCTTGCCTTCTGTCTCTCTGTCTCTGTCTCTACAGAGAGCACACATGCCCTACAACAAAAAATGAATGAATAAAAAAATAAATAAATAAAATAATCTAGGAATCAGCAGATGGCATAATAGTTACGTTGGTGGACTCCCATGTAGTCAACTGTAGTTCGAGTCCTGGACCTGGTGGCTTAAAACTCACATCAAGTGCATGTGCATATATACCCAAGATCCTGAGAGGAGAGTGGAGGAAAAGGGATTGCAGCATGGCCATCTCCTCTGGGGGATGATTTCTCACTTTTTGTCTCTGTCTCTTGAGCGAGTGCAGAAAATCTCTCTACAAAACAAAAAATCTAATGCATGTATCTGGAAGCTGTAATCCTAAATGAAATAAAAGGGCTAAAAAGATAAAAAGAGAGCATTAGTGTTGTGTTTAAGTAGATTGGTAGTTGGGACTTCATAAAGATTTCTCTGTCTCTGCTTGAATCATCCCATCCCTGAAACATCCCATCTGGCCCGGTTTATGCTCTTGGGTGCTGTATTTTTACATTAGCTTGGGCATTTTCCCCACTTCCTGTCCTGTTGGGGAGGTCAGTAGGCATGGTTACAATTTTGGCCTCTTATTGTCAACACCCTGCTTTAAGTGGGACACATCTAAATTTATGACAAGTGTTACAGAACATATATTATTTTTAAACAATATTTTAATAAGGAAAAAAAATGAGTTCAGAGTTCTGCTTGGGAACACCAGGAGTATACCTCTCCCCTTACGCCAGAACTTTGGCTCAATTCCTATTTTGGGAGAATGAACTATTGTGTTACTCTTGAATTCCAAATTATGGTGAAGACTGCCTGTCTCAGGTGTGACGGATGAAGGATGAAAGGAAAAACAGAAGCTCTAAGAGCTAAGGTGAGGGTGAAGGTTCTTGCCAGTCTAACTTGTCTCTCCTCTCTACTTAAAACATGTTCTAGGGAAAAGAGATGTTGTAATGGTTACATCACTGGACTCTTATGTAGTCAACCATAGTTAGAGTCCCAGACCTGGTGGCTTAAAACTCACACTGGGCACATGTGCATGCATTCTCAAAATCCGAAGAGGAGCATGGAGGAGAAAGGGATTGTGGTATGGCCATTCCCCCAAAGGAGTGATTTTTTTGCTTTCTTTCTCTCTGTCTTTCCAATGAGTACACATACCTTACAGCAAAAATCTCTCTTAAAAAAAAAAAAAAAGCCTCTTGGAGCCAAAAGGTGGCATGGTGATTAAGATGCTGCTGGACTCTCACATGGTTTGAGTCCCAGACATGGCAGCTTGAAAATCATGCCAGGCACATGTGTGTGCAAGCCCAAAATCCCGAGAGGAGACTAAAGGAGAGGGGATTGCCCCTGGGGATGATTTCTCACTTTCTATCTCTTTGTCTCTCTCTGGAGAGCATACATGCCCTATGGCAACAATAAAATACATATAAAAAAGTGTTGATCTCCATCCATATTTTTTTATTTAACTGCAAATCTTCCCCATAGTCCCAGAAACAGAGAAAGCTCCATAAGTTATTTATACCTGGATTTAACCCAGCTCACATATTTAGATAGATTAAATACTATTTGAAGCCAGAAACTGTAAAATTTGGCACACTATTTGGTACACGGTTACTCAGTGCATTTTAGTGCACAATAATTAATAGGTTATTCCAAAAAGAAAATCCTTCTTAATTTCCAGCAGATAGAGGACATTGTAGCGTTGGTTAAGAAGAAGAGCTATTTACATTCCCCCATGCTATTTAATACAATCAGACTCAGAAGTGGTGGTAGATAGCTATGCCTTGTTAATGTGCTCTTGTTTTCAGTCAAGGACCCATGTACCTCCATGTGAAGCTTCTTTGGCCTATTAATCAACATGGGAATCTGACAGTACTCTCAAAATCATGATTTGTTGGTTTTATTTCAAGATGTTTCAAAGCCATAATGTTTCCTTGCTGTGACCAGAGCAGATATCTGGTGACAATTCAGTCCCCGCTGATGCTTTAGAGAAAGTGGTTGGAAGAATTTGTTTGTTGGAAAACTAAGATGGAAAAAAAAAAAGCTAAAACTTTTAGAATTTGGTTGTTGGAAAATTAGATGAAAAGAAAAAAATAGCTAAAAGCTGAAACTTTTAGAACCACAGGACTCCGTCTCTCAGAATCATGCTGCTGACCATGCGATCCTACAGCCAACAGCTCTGGCAACACCCAGCAGGACTCAGTCTAGTCCTACTGAATCCTCAAGAAAATTTCAGCTCTATCAGGGACACTTTCAGTTTGGCCTGACTGATTTTGATTGATCTTAAACAAACTTTCTTGGGGTTTTGGATTGGGCCGGCCTTGTAGCGCAGTGGGTTAAGCCCTGTGCATACGGAGCCACCTCCCACATGGCTAACTACAGTGTGAATTCTAGTCCTGGTAGTTGGAATAGCACACTGGGAGTGTGTGTGTGTGTGTGTGTGTGTGTGTGTGTGTGTGTCTCCCCAAATATTCATGGGATACACAAATGGAGGAAGAAAGCATTGCAGTGTAGCCACGTCCCATCAGGGATGTTTTCTCTCTCTCTCTCTGTCTCTCTCTCTCTCTCTCTCTGGTGAGTGCTTGCACCCTCTAGAGTTAAAAAGAGAAAAAGTTCCAGTTTGACCATATACAGGCTTGGCCTTCTTTTTGGACCTCAGGCTCTGCTCAGTGATGCTAGGATGCAGCAGGAGCTCTCTAGTACACGCTGGGCCATTAATTCATGGGTTACCCATGGAGAGCACTAGGTCATGCTATTTTTGTAACAGGTTCAAAGTACATGTTTTAATGTGGATGAATGTGCAAATTCTTTGATTCCATAGGCTTGGTGGGTTCAAATAGAAGACAAATTGAGAAAAGACACGACACTTTCACAAAGTATTTAGAAGCCATAGATGCACAAAAGTGAGGAGAGTAGGTATACATAGAAAGTCATTGTTACTTTAGATATAAGCAGATGCATGTAATTTCAATTTCTTGAATAGACATTTGAGTTCATAGACTGAACCAAGCACTATGACAAATGCATCATACGGATGATCTCAATTGACTGCAAAATAATGCCTCAAGGTGGATATTACTATCTCCATTTTACAAAAGAGGAAATAGTCTCAGAAAAGACAGATTTTAAATCCAGCCTATAGATCAAAAGTCTGTCTCTTATACTACAAAAAAATTTACACTGCTTATATTAAAATATTGTGTGTAGATATTATCACTTTTTTCAAATGAAAATACTGATTTTCCTAGGATTTATAGAAATGAACATTTTTGTCTATAAAGTCAAATGGAATAATCACTTTACTAATGAAGAAAAATAAATATATGAATATAGATTAAAATTACAAGTAGCCATCTATATAGCAATTGCTTTAATTCCCAAATACTTTAAGTTTGTAACCTTTAAAATCAAAGAAAACCAAACTTTCTTTGCTTTTCGTCCTCAGATAGCTTTGGCAGTTATTCTCTCTACAACTGTTCCATTGTTATATTTTATAAGAAATATTCTATAACTATAATTTAAAAGCCTCAGTCACTCAATCGTAAGTGGATAAGAAAATAAGCTAAAAACTCAGTGAATGAATGTCTCATTTCTATAAGCTCTTTCTTACAACAGCAGATAATATTTTTAAGGTAAAGAAGAGGAGGTGGCTTTTCAGATTTTGTTTCTCAAAGTTCCAACATATTTACTAACCCTACTTAGATAATGAAACCTGTGATAAAAATCTATTCATTTACAGAGATTAAAGTATTATATTTATCAGTGGGATCACTGAATTATATACTTTAGAATCTTGTGAATTTACTTTAGAATCTTAAGAGATTTAAAACATCAATTTTATCTCCCTTTTCTGGTAAATAATGACATATTGCAGCTCAGTTTTTGAGTCTCTGGTTGAATCGTGCAGATGCCCTACTGGGGGAAAGTGTTGCCTTACCAATGTTTAATGTTAAGTATCTTGGATGGTCTCTTTTCTCCTCTCTTCTCCTATCTAGCTATGGTCTGTCTTTCAGTCTGTCTGGAAAAATGTCTTACTTTTGGATAGACAGAAAATAGATGAATAGCTAGATACCTAGAGAAATAGGTAATTACAACAGAAACTTAGAATTACGTTCTATTGTAGAATGGAGACCAAGCCAAAATTGAGTTGAACATGTTTTTGTTATCTATTTGAAAAAGTAATAAATACGATAATAATTGGCAACTTCTGTGTATTCATTAAACTCAAAGACAAACACAAAATACAATAGATTAAGAATAAACAAATAACTGGGCCAGCTGTGGCATGTTGGTTAAAGTGATTGGAGTCTACATGGCTGCCGATGTGGTTTGAATCCCAGGCTCAGTGGCTTGAAAGCCACACCAGATGCATGTGTTATGTGTGCCTGAAATCCTGAAAGGAGGGATAAATGAAGGAGAAGGGCTCACAGCGTGACATTCCCCAAGGCGGGGAGTGGGGTGTGATTGGGTGGGGAGGGCGCTTTCTCACTCTCCCCTCTGTCACTCTACAATATGCAGATGCAACTTCTAGCAACAAAACCCCAAATGAAAAAAAAATGCATAATCACATAACTTTCCAGTTATTTGGGGGTCATTTAGATTTCAATACCTGTATTTAGTTTGCTATTTGGGTACCGTAAAAGGAGCAGGAAAATCTGATATTCTTCTATCATACCTAGATCACAAAGTCTCTACGGTCAAGGAGAATGTTCTTTCTCGGTTGTTAATGTAGCTGGTAATTTTTTAAAAAAATTTATTTATTTATTTATTTTAATTTGACCAGAGATGGACAGAAAGAGAGAGAGAGGGAAAGTGAGAAAGCAAACCTCTGAGTCCAGGACTCAAACCACGGTCGGCCATGTGGGATTCCAGTGCCTCACCCACCACGCCACCTGCTGGCCCCATAGCTGGTATTTTTATTTTATGGTTTTTGTTTTTGACTTTTGCATTACCAGGTACCTATATCAAGTTTTAGCTGATAGCAGTGTTTACTCAATTTTGATTAACTGAATTTATTTTTGGCTTAGTGAATGAACAAAGAATAGAGTTTGATTTCCTATCAACAATACAGAATCATGTGTAATATTTAGTGTGAAAGAACAAAGCCTATAAACTTAATGTCTAGACCCAAGAGCATGATTTCTCAGCAGTGGCTTTATTGGCATTTTGGGTTACATAATTCTTTGTTGTGGAGCTTTCCTGTGCAGTGTAAGATGATTAGCAGCCATCTCTGACCTCTGTTCACAGCAGCCATCTCTGACCTCTACTCACTAGATGCCAGGAGAACCACATAAATTCTGAAGTGGCAACAACTTAAAAATCGCTCCAGACATTGCCAGATATCCCTGGGACAAAGGAGCCCTCGTACTGCCAGAATCACTACTCTAGAGCAAAACCCCAAAAGGTAGAGGAAATTTGGGCCCAAGGTTTAGCAACTTGAATACGAGTCAATGAACAGAGAACTCTGCAAAGAAGAGGGATATGTCCTTTGGATGAGAAAGAGAGAGAGAGCGCGACTCTTATTGAGAATGATTCCAAGTAAGAGAAAATGGGGAACCCTAGGGGAAAAACTGGACTTTTAAAACCAAAAATGAGAAGTTCGCCACAAACCGAGATATTTAGGACATCTGTGCTACAATTAGGGAGTCAGAGTAACTGCAGAGGAATTAGGGGTGTGTGAGCTGTCTATGTCTCTAGGTAGAAGTTGAAATGAAGGACTGGTTCTGAGAAAGAAATGATAGGAAAATATAAGAACTTCCAAGTGGACGAGAAATGTATACAGTCATCATAAGTGTGTATACAGGCTGAGCAAAACAAGCAATCTGTTGCATTTGTTAACTTCCTTGACATCCTTAATGCTCAGGATGACAAACTATTTTAGGCATGAAATCTGGGTAATACAAACACAGGATGATTTATTTACCATTAGGACTTAGATTTTCTTTTTCTTACTACCAAATGGGTTCAATATTGTTAACTGGAAAGATGCAGACATTGGAATCAATGAAAATTAATCCCACAGAGGATGTTTTATCCTTATTGCTACAAATGCTAATCCTATTTTATACTCACCTGAGGGCCTTGATTTACTCCTGGAGTCAGAGGATTTCCAAGAACATACTTCTTAGCCCGCTCAACGCTCCTTCGAACAAACTCATCGTAGATGGACTCTTCCACAAAAAGCCTCGATGCAGCTATACAACACTGGCCCTGGTGGTAGAATAACCCATGGTGCGCAAATTCCACAGCATTGTCCACTGCAAAGAAGTTCACATTAAGAAAGAGTTCTCTCCTAAAGAGCATACACTTGTATATGCATTCCTCAAAGGCAATATTGTGATACAGAAAAATTGTGAGCTGTATAATCAGGTACAGGCTCAATGTATTCCATTTCTTAACACCCAGGTATCAAATTAGTCTTTTTGATCCTTTATTCACTAAGAAAATAATAGCAACAAGCAATAGACCTGAAAAAAGATGATGGTTGTTTTTATAACTTTAGTATATCCTAAGAATTTGCATTTAATCATAAGATTAAATCTCATTGCAAATGAGTTTTATAAATAACTTCATTTATAATGAAATAACTATGAATATTTTTGTTGGGCCTCAGGTTTTAATCAGATAACAAAGAAAATCTGAAATGTCCAGTGTGTTAAGTAATTTTAAAGCACTCTTAAATACCCTTAGCCACAGGAAAAGTGATCTTTCTGAAAAAACAATAATAAAAACAAAAACAAAAACAAAAAAAACAAAGCAAGATAATCAACCACCAACAAAACACTAATATTCAGAGTCACTTGTTCTAGGAAACATATTTTAAAAATTTATTTTAAGTGTGACATATTATTTCACATATGCCCATAAAATCTTCTATTCCATTTATTTTAGATTGCAGAATATGCCTTATATAAAAAAAAATGGTGCTTCATTAGTAGATCCTATATAACAAGAATTGTTTTCTTTTCACTTTAATTTTCTAAATATTGAAGATTTAATTGAACTTTACAGCAACTGGGTGTTGTTTTATTTATTTTATGAACAAATGAAAGCTTTTTGTTTCAGTGAAAGCTATTTACAGACTTGGTGAAGTTAGACATCTTGTTAGATTCATAGAGTGTTGTAAGGTTATATTTTCTAAAAAAATTATTTAAGATCATAATAGCAGGGATCAGCAGATGGTGTGATGGTTATGTTGCTGGACTCACACGTAGTCAACGTGGTTCAAGTGCTGGACCCAGTGGCTTAAATTCATGCCAGGCGTGTGTACGTATGTGCCCAAAATCCCAAGAGGAGTGTGGAGGAGAAGGGGTTGTGGCGTGGTCATCCCCCCTGGGGGGTGATTTCTCACTTTCTGTCTCTCTGTCTCTCTCTGTCTCTGGTGAGCGCACACGCCCAATAGCAAAAATCTCTCAGAAAAAGATTACAACAGCAACAGAAGCAAGTTCCATGAACCATTTGTGTATAGCTCATAGTGATAATATAGCTGTTGAATAGACAAATGCTTGACCTTCTATGTGGGCACTTTAATAAGGCTACGGAAAGCTGAAATTAAAGTACAAGTTCAGTGCTTGCTTTGGCAGCATATATACTAAAATTGGACTGATATAGAGAAGATTAACATGGCCCCTGTGCAAGGATGACATGCAAATTCATGAAGCATTCAATATTTTTAATTTAAATTTTAAAAAAAAGAAAAAAAAGTACAAGTTCATTTTGATGCAAAAAAATAAACTACATGCATAGTTTTTTTTTTTTTTTTGGAGAAATTTTCATTGTAGGGCGCGTGCGCTCGCCAGACAGACAGAGAGAGACATAGAGACAGAAAGCGAGAAATCACCCCCCAGGGGGGATGGTCACGCCGCAATCCCTTCTCCTCCATTCTCCTCTCGGGATCTTGGACACGCACGCACACGCACCCGGCGTGAGTTTTAAGCCACTGGGTCCGGGACACGAACCGCGGTCGACTACGTGGGAGTCCAGCAACATAGCCATTACGCTAACTGCTGGTTCCCTACATGCATAGTTTTTTGCACTATGCATTTTTCTATAATTTCTTGAAGACTCCTTATTTGGAAATTTTGCCAGAAGGTACATGCCACTCAAGAGAGAGAAAAAGAGTCAGAGAAAGGGAAAATGAGAAAACACTCTGAGGAGAAATTTTCACACTGCAATCCCTTCTCCATTTTCCCTCCTTTTGGAATTTTGGGCACATATATACATGAACCAGCATAGCTCAAGTTGCTGGAAGGACTTAAACCAAATGTTCGGCCATGTGAGACCCAGCTGCCTTAACCACCATGGTACAGGTTGCCCCTAAAGATTTCTCTTATTTCTGCTAATTAACTCATATTTAGTAAGTAACTTTGAAATTCTACTTGGTAATAAAGTCAGAATGAACTTGGAATTTTGTTTAGTGGCATGACATCATAACTGTAGATTTAATATATTTAAACTCAACTATATTTGCTAGAAAAAAAGAGAAATTATTTAAATAGTGTAATTTTTCTCCTGGCTATTTCATTTCATGAATGATCCAGAACATGGCAAATGTGAAATTGCTATCTCTCTTCTTGGTCTCAAAATGTCTGGTGGAGGGGTTGGGTTATTACATTATGCTTAAGTGGTGCTGTAATTGAAGATATAGAATTAAAAATATATAAATCCTGGGATCAGTAGTTAGCGTAATGGCTATGTTGTTGAACTCCCATGCAGCTGACTGCAGTTTGAGTCCCGGACCCAATGGCTTAAACTCACACCGGGTGCATGTGCATGCGTGCCCAAGGTCCCGAAAGGAAAATGGAGGAGAAGGGACTGTGATGTGGCCATCCCCCCGGGGGGTGATTTCTCACTTTCTCTCTCTCTATCTCTCTCTGTCTTTCTGGTGAGCACACACACCCTACAGTGAAAATCTCTCCAAAATAAGAAAATAAAAAATATAAATCCTGGTCCCAAGATTCAAAACATTCATTTAATTTATGGTTCATATGAGGAATAGCAGTTCATTGTAAACCAGAAAAAAAAAATGTTTCTGTGTTACATTTATCTATGTGTTATAGCTTTGGGGCAATTCAATAGTTTTCAAGAGTAATTCTGGACTGTGAATTCTTTATATGTTGACATTAGAAGCAAACCCTTCTGTAAAATTCAAGTTCACCAGATGGCATTCCCAGACACCCCAAAGAAGGAAGGGTGGAAGTTAACCAGGTGGCCTATACTCACAGTCAGCATCAGCGAACACAATGCAAGGGCTCTTCCCCCCGAGCTCTAGGGTCACCCTTTTTAGATTGCTTTTCCCAGCAGCTTCTTTGATCATTTTGCCAACCTGAAATGGAGCGTTACGAAGGACAGGGTTTAATCTGTTCTCATGAAGACAAGTTAATTTAGCATTTTAAATTTATATGATGTTTGTGTCACAGTTACATTTCTTTTGGGAGAAACACAAAATGGCATTTTTTGCTTCCTGTCTTTGTCTTTCTCTATCTCTCTGGTGAGCACACGTACCCTATAGCAAAAACAACTGGCACCATCAGATATAAAAGACATAAGATGAATCAGAAAAGTGCTCACGGGCCAAAGAATAGAGATATAGAACATGAGGGCTGAGTTGTGGCTAGGCAGGAGGTTTTCATTTTAATCAGAACTTCTCTTTATGAGTTGATGAGACATATCATGCTCCAGTCACAATGTATCTGTTGGACTTTGCATCCCACAAGTAACAACCAGAAAACTGTGTCCAGCCAAGGTGGTATATTCACCTCCTGAATCTCAGCTCCCTTCTTACTTTCTGCCCACATCAACCTGCACTTCCTTCAAGTTCTACCTTTTGTGGGCATCTAGCTCATATATCAGTCCCTTGATCCATCTTTCTTAGATTTTCCTGCTCATCCACATGTGAGCCTTTCTTCTCTTATGCTATAGAACCTCATGAAGACTCTTCCAAAGCCCGCCTTGGATTGTCTTTTTCTTACATGTATTAATTTCCCACATTGTCACTTTCTTGCTAGCAGTGACAATGTCCTATTGCAGTGTATCTCTCCTCGGTAATATCTATCATATGATTCATTTAACTGCTGAGTGACTGAGAGACACCCTTTCCCTTTTTACTCCACCCATCCCAAACACATCCTCCTTTAAACAGTGAAGTTGGAAGAAAGAATTGGATGCATGCCCGTGCTGTTACTTTAGTTGGATGGAATCCAACTGTTCTGGTTCTTTTTTTAATGCTAGTTGGCACTTTTCAGTAAAAGACATTGTTTATCATTTTTTTTCTTCATGAACCAGCTCCTATCAAGATTATTTTTCTATAGTTGTTTTTGTTTTTCCATCTCTAAAATGTTCTCTGTTTTGTAATATTCTTTATTATACGTTTTCCAAAGCTTTATTATTTATTGCTGGAAAGACTGTGAGGCATGCAATCTATAATTTGCCTCTTTCACGGCATTTGGCAAGTTTTTAAATATATGGTAAGCACCAAACTTGTGACTTAAAAAACCCAGAAAGAGATTCCAGGGAGCGTTTGAGCTGAGACTGAGGTGGGTTTTTCTGTGTGGCTTCCAAAATCATATTATTCATACCTAATTCTTTAATACTTATTTAGAAGTAGTTACCATTCTAGTTACAGAAGATAACAATGACTAGGACAGTCTTTGAGGATAGTTAACAAGGGTAAGGGAAAGACACATCACAAGTCAACGAGCATGTGCTCTCCTAGTTGTAGATCAGGGATAATGGGAACACAGGGAACACAGAGGGGAAGTTTTTTTTTTTTTTTCCTTTCCTTTTTTTTTTAAGAGAGAGAGACTTTTGCAATAGGGTGCATGCATTCGCCAGAGAGACAGAAAGTGAGAAATCACCCCTGGGAAGATGGTCCCACTGCAATCCCTTTACCTCCATTCTCCTTTCAAGATTTTGGGCATGCACACACATGAGCCCAGCATGAGTTTCAAGCTACTGGGTCCAGGACCCAAACCATGATCAATTGCATGGGAGTCTGTTGATATAACCATTATGCCATATGCTGTTCCCTACAGAGGAAAGTTTTAAGTTACCATGCTACTGGGATTGCAGAAAGTAGGAGAAAATTATAGAGGGAATATGCAGTGGAAGCTATGTTACAGTAGGTTGTGGTCATGCATTAAAAAATGGGGGACGAAGGGCCAGCCTATGGCCTAATAATTAAGGAAGTGGACCCCATCTGGCCAACCATACAGTTTGAGTCCCAGACCTAGTGGCTTGAAAAACACACAGAGCATGTGTGTGTGCCCAAAATCCCACAAAGGATGGAGAAATGGAGAAGGGATGTGGCATGACCATGCCCCATGGAGGGTGCTGCTCCCTTTCAACCACTACTTTCTGGTGAGCATATGTACCTACTGGCAACTAAAAGATACATGGGAATAAATAGGAAGTGATGGGACAGAGTGGGCAGAGATGGAGAAAAATTATACAGAGTGAAAGCTTCTCTTTCCATCCTGCTCTTTCTCCCAATGCCCATGACTGAGGTTCTTTTCTTCAATCCATTAGTTGGCCAAGTTGGAACAAGGGAGACATCAGAGTTTGGCTGGCCAACAGATGCACCCATGAAGCTGAATTTCTGGCTTCCTTTCAGAATATCCAGAGAAGAGAGAGCACCAAATAAGGAGCCAAGGGTGAGGCTCTTTTTTTTTTTAATTTTCATAAACTATAGGATAAAATTACACTCATTCATACAAATCCCTGTGGCCCAATTTATGTTTTCTATCATAAACTTTACTAATAATGTGACAAGGTCTCAGTGGCCATATTTATCATCGGAGAAGATAATGAGCACACTAAAACAGTCTGGTTCTTTTGAGTTTGTCAAAGGTATTTCATTTCATCCAAGCTACATCTGTGTATATTCTATAAACATTGCTGTAGGCTAGAATAAGGAACAAATCATTAAGAAGCTTTTGTTTTAAGGAAGTGTCAGCTCAAAAATGGTTACATAAAACATGCTTCTGACAGTTTGAGATGGAAACATGCTTAAGTCCTGGCCTGAGTAGTGATATTACCTCTGTTGAGCCCGTGAAGGCCACCTTGTCCACGTCCATGTGAGAAGAGATAGCTGCCCCTGCAGTAGGCCCATAACCAGGGACGATATTCACCACTCCAGGAGGAAACCCTGCCTAAAAGGTAAAGAGCAAAACAGTTACAACAGAACTAAGATTTAATTCCGACAGGAAGAGTGTACGGAATCGAGGCTACTTCTTTATGCTAACCTTGTAAGTTTCTCTACCAAGAAAAATTCACCTAAATGCTTTTATTCATTATTATTATTACTCTTTCATTTCTTAACTCATGCAAAAATAACCTTAAGAATGGGATCATTAAAGGACCATTTCTCTTCAGGGTAGGTCATTAGTTTATGGATCATTGCTCAGTCATGGTTGCCTCAAATTTCATAATGGTGATTCTGAAAGAGCGCTTCTATAAATGTGTTTGGTGATGTACTTATATAGAATTGAAGCAATGTATTTATGTTCCCCATCCACAAAAATAAGAATCTAAAGGAATCTTACATTTTTAATTTCCTGCTGTTGATTGCACAGGGTGTAATGGCTGAATGGCAAATTCCCATAGGCATTACATAATTAGTAAAATGTTAGGGAAGCACAATTATCCTCTTCATGATTAAACTTCACAGATTGATTTTCAAACCCAATTAAAGAATTCAGGTAGAAAGTAGTGTTAGCGGTGGAGTTAGGCACATTAAAATTTTATGTTTTCTGCATCAAAACACTTCATTTTGACATTTCTTTTTTCTATTTTTTTCCTCGAAATGATTCCCTAAATTATAAGTTTCTAGTGACTAATGCATATGTTTTATGTTTTGATAAGATGTGAAGGATAAGGGACAATGAATTGTTTGGCAAAAAAAAAGTACATATTGGAAAAATTTGAATAATTGATAAAAATAAGTTTCATGTGCTCTTTGTCATTTTTTAACAGGTAGATATATGCAGAGGGAATCATCATAGAAAATATAAACATATACATTCATGGACAGACGTGTTTGGAAGTAACATGGTCCAATATTATAAACAAGCATATTGGCATAGAGACCTCCAACTTCAGATAGAATGGTCTAAGTGCATTTGCAAAAATCACCAGGTCATTGGTGGTAGTTATAAGCCAACTTAACATCTCAACATTTGAAAGAACATTATATTAATTTCTATGTGAATTTATGTTCATGAGAATTAGACAAAAGAAATAAAAAGTGATTATGGGCAACTGATACCAAACTTGGAGTCTGGCTTTTGTCTGCATTTGGGCAGAGATTCACAAGAGTTGACTGCCAGAAAGCCCATCCAGCAGCCATGTTAAATGCATACCCACCACTGGACAGGGGCCATTTTTAAAGAGTGTATTTACAGTAGCACCAGATGATATCCCTTTTTATTAGGAAGTAGGACTCTTAAGTTCCTGTGCATATTTTGATTTAGAAAACTTACCTCTTTTATTAAAGATGCCACGTGAAGAGCAGTGAGGGGAGTTTGCTCTGCTGGTTTGACAACCACAGTGTTTCCACAGCTAAGAGCAGGCCCTATCTTCCAAATGAGCATAACCAACGGGAAATTCCACTAGAAAGCAATATACAACAAAAGAATCTTTGTACTGCTGAAAGGCACATTTGCTAATCTAACTTCTGCACTAGACACAGACCGTAGCTGTTAAACAGTAATGTAGTAGTTTTGTGCAATAATCTGGTGTAGTCTACTTAAGTTTATTGCTAGACACAATGAGTAAATGCTAAAAAGTTCTCAATAAACCAGATATGAGAAGGAAAATAAAATTGCTGCCTGGTTTGGCTAGTAAGCCCTTTGTAAGTTATTTGCAAATGTCTAAAAAATATGCAATTATTCCTTTGCTAGGGTCTTGACATTCCCCAACATTCATGTGTTGAGATCTGATTGTAATGAGATTAAGAAAACTTGACCCAATTATTATGTTGATGAGTGGGGCCTTTGGGAGGAGATTAGTGAGATGATAGTCAGGGTGGAGACACACAAGATTGAGTCCTGCTAGGTTATAAGGAAAGGAAGTGTGACAGACGGGGTCACATGGAATACAGATCATTTGCTCTTTGTGTTCCCACTACTCCTCATGTTCTGATGACCATCTTGTGACATAGCCAGCCTGATGCCAGTCTCATGCCTTTGGACTTTCCAGCCACTAGAATCATGAGTCAACTAAACCTCCTGGGTTTACAAATCACCCAACCCCATTTATTTCTGTGAGCAAGACAGTAATGGACTAAGACACATCCCCACAGGTCATTTATTATAATATTATTTAGTAGCATTTATTATAGGACAAATATCTTTAAAAAAAGATGCCTAGAGTCCAGAGGCTGAGTGTTTGGATACAAGTCTCTACTCAATCACTGACCAACCATGTGGAGATTGCTTCATCACAGGAAAGTGGAACATACTACCTATTATAGGTATTCAGGGTTATGTAGATTTTATATATTTTATTGAGATATTTGAACTAATAGGCCGCTTCATTGAAAATGTGGAAATGAGTGTATGCACACTTGTAATCCCAAAGAAAGGAGAAGTGGAGGAGAAGGGATTGTGACATAAACATGCCCCACCGGGGTGGGGTGGGAAGGCTGGTGTTTTCTCCCCCTCCTCTGTTTTACTCAAGCAAGCATAAACACTCCTCTAACAAGTTGAAAAAAATAAAATGAAATAAAAATAAAATGCCCCATAAAGTAAAAGGTTAATCTGTGTTGACAGTGTAATTTTAAAACACATGAGAGAAATATGACTGGATGTCAATAGGTTTATGTACAAGAAGCGTAGCCATGGGAAGAACAGGCTCATCAAATCCTACATTTACTCCATATTCAACAAATACATAAGCATCCATTTGTGTTGGAGAAAACTTTATCACCAAACCAAATAGAATGAAAACCTTTGGGGCCAGCAGGTAGTGTAGGGTTTAAAGGCATTGGATTCCCACATGGCCAACCACGGTTTGAGTCCCGGACCTGGTGGTTTGCTTTTTCACTTTCCCTTTCTTTCTGTCTCTCTCTGATCAAATTAATAATAATAATAACAAATGGAATTAAATAAATAAATACTTCTAAAAAAGAATGAGAATTTTTTCTTTAATTAAAAATTATAGAGGATACCAACTTACAGGAATGATTTGACCACATACACCAATAGGTTCATGTCTTGTATAAGTAAAAAAGTTTCCATCTGGAAAACAGAACACAAAAACATTCAGACATAGATAAATATATTTGACTTTCAGAGAATGGTGATTTATGGCTGATGTAAGAAGAAGATGTAGAGAATTTTTTTTTTTTTTGAGAGTTTTTTTCACTATAGGGCGCGTGCGCTCGCCCGACAGACAGAGAGAGACATAGAGGCAGAAAGCGAGAAATCACCCCCCAGGGGGGATGGTCACGCCGCAATCCCTTCTCCTCCATTCTCCTCTTGGGATCTTGGGCACGAACGCACACGTGCCCGGCGTGAGTTCTAAGCCACCGGGTCCGGGACGCGAACCGCGGTCGACTACGTGGGAATCCAGCGACATAGCCATTACGCTAACTGCTGGTTCCCGAGAATTTTTTTTAAGAAACACATCTCACACTATTTACAAATGAATAATTGAGTGCTCGAATAGTATAATAACTTGGAATGATAAGAGTCATAAAACTGAGTTAAGCTAAAGCAAGGAACCAAAACTGGAAAAGGTCTGAACGATAATTAATTCTACCTTTCATCATCTAGGAGGGCTATTTTCTATATCATCTTTATTCTCTAAGTTTTGTAGAAAAGGAATGAGAAAGGGGCAGATCTCCAGCTACAAAAAAGAGAACTATATTCAAATGTGTTTCTGGCAGCTCAAAGTTCTATGAGTAATAGTAGATCCTTTTAGAGTAATATAATTTCTTTAACTAGTAAAATTAATGAACAGGCCAGCAGGTAGAGCAGGTAGTTAAGGTACTGATCCCACATGGCTGACTCTGGTTAGAGTCCTGGACCTGGCTTAGAAAACATGCCAACCATGTGTGCATGCATCCCCAAAATCCCAAGTTGAGAACGGAGGAAAAGGGATTGTAACCATCTCCTCTGGGGATGAGCTCTCACTTTCCCTCTCTCCCTTTCTCTGTCTCACCCTCTGTCTCTCTCCAATGGGTGTATACTCCCTATTTCAAAATTCTAAAGTAATAATAATAAATCTTTCTATGAATTATAAGCCTTTCCTATCTTTTTTTCTAAAATGTTCTTATTTTGCCTACCAAACAATAAAAACAAACTCTCTTGGGCTATGAATTTTTTAAAAAGTCAGAAATTAAAAAAAAAAATCAACTTAGATTTAACTTACTAATGTGCCCAAAATTTGATGTGATAATCCTGAAAGTGACATTGTGCTTCATGCTGTTTCTGTTCTTGTTCCCACAGAAGCCTTCTGGCTATCACAGCACAAGCTCTTATCAAGATTAATTTGTTACTTCAAATGGTTTCTCTCATTTGTTGAAAGTAAAGTAAGACAATTACTAAAATAACCAATTGGTACTGCCACAGTGTCACTCTCCTCTTAGAATTTCCTGCCGTTCACTTTTTTTCTTTTTTTTTTTTTTCCTGTCTTTCACTTATAACCTCCTGAAAGCTCCAATTAGATTCACATCAGGGCCGGTCCTGGAGGGTGCTATGTTCTTAAAATAAATACTTTGAGATAAATTAAATTCTACTCATAGTGTTTCCCAAATTGATACTATTCATATTTCAAATGACTTATGTTTTCTTTTTATCTATCCCACAGTATAGATTCTACTGAAATGGCATATACATACAACATTCACACACGAAAATTCCTAACTCAGGCTATAAACACAGTTTCATTTTGCTTTGAAGCTATTTGAAACAAATCAAGGTGAATTAGTTTGTTTAATTAATCTGGTCTAGGTATGCTGAGTTTAACCAGGCACAAATGACCGTAACTGACTCAGACTGGAACATTCAGAGAGGCTTAAATAATTACATTACGGAAATAGTGTAAAAGTTACTACTGAAATAAAACCCTGGTAAATAATTTCAGAGGCTGACTTTAAAAAGTTTGGACAGTTGCCTCCAATCGGTAATTATGGTTATCAGATTTTAATATTTTCTAAAATATCCATAATGATGATGCTGAAACAACTTGAAAAGCTATTTGATGAATTTGAACTTCCAGGTTCCGAACTGTACTGTCTCAAAGCCACAGGGAAAATAATTTGCCATGTTCGGTTGACATCATTTACAAGGAGAGTTTGAAGCTATTCTGTTCTATAGTAATCACACCCCTTCCCAAAGTTACTTACCAATTGGTATCGTGCGACCCTGGATCTTGTCAGCCCAGCCTGCACAATAGCGCAGCGTTTTAATACAGCCTCCTAAATCCATCAGATATGCATTGGAAAACAGTTTCCCACCATTCATCGACTCCATTGTCTGAAAAACAGATCAAATTCCAATTTAAAAAAACTCATAAAAAAGTTAGTTTAAAAATTGTATATAAGGGGACCAGCAGTTAGCATAATGGTTATGTCACCGGACTCCCGCGTAGTCGACTACGGTTTGCATCCCGGACCCGGTGGCTCAAAACTCACACCGGGCACATGTGCGTGCGTGCCCAAGATCCCGAGAAAAGAATGGAGGAGAAGGGATTGCAGTGTGGCCATCCCCCCTGGGGGGTGATTTCTCTCTTTCTGTCTCTCTGTCTCTCTCTGTCTGTCTGGCGAGCACATGTGCCCGATAGCAAAAACCTATTAAAAAAAAAAAAGAGTTACAAAAATTATATATAAGGGCCAGCAGGTGGTGTGGTGGTTAAGGCGCTGGATGCTCCCACATGGCTGACAGACCCAGATGGCCTGCTTTCTCACTTCCCCTCTCTCTCGTTGTATCTCTCTGGACAAATTAATAATAAATGAAAGAATAAATAAAATGAAATAATTCTTTAAAAATTATGTGTGTGTGTGTGTATGTAGTCAATAGTTTGAATAATTATGTGTTTCAGAATTTTAGATATAGAAAGAATTTTGTTATCTTGTCTACCTCTTTTTAAAAAGGAGACTGAAAATAATTAAAATGATTTGCTTAAGGTCACATAACAAGATCTGGGCAGAAAGGGTAGCAAGATTCTGGTTTCTAACCACCAGTGTACTTTGAATACATTCCGACTGTCCTGTGGCTAACTAGCTTTTAGAAACTGGTCACAGTTTGATAAATACAAAGCTTATGAGGATGATTCTTACTCTCCTTATAGCAGTTTCAGTAAGAGTTCACTTTTGTTTTTTCTTTAAGGTTTTGCACTTGTGAGAGAGAGAGACAGGGAATGAAAGAGAGGGAAAGTGAGAAGCTACTCCCAAGGTTGGCCACACCACAGTCCCTTCTCCTCCCTTCTCTTCTTGTGATTTTGGGCATGTACACAGATGCGACTGGCATGATTTTCAAGCCACCAGCCAGCCATCTGGGAATCTAGCGCCTTAACCATCATACCACTGGCCCACCAACAAGACTGCACTTACATAATCTAAATGGTGGGTGACAATTTAGTGATAGTAGCTATTAACTGTATGGGCCAAGGAATCGTTCCCTTTACCTGCTAAAGTTTCGGAAATTTAAGTCTATGAAATTGACTTCAAACAGATTAACAGAATTTTTAAAAATGGTTTGCAAATTCATTGCATGCACAGGGGTGTCACAAGGAAGAAAAGTGATCTCGAACAAAGAAATGAAATATGGACAGTCATAGGCCCTCTTCAAAGGGGAGGTGTGAGGGGGCATGCAGGCAACTTAGGGTAGAGTGTGTGATTTTTTTTGTGGGGAAAGAATGAATGTGGCTAGATAACAGGTGATGGTCTGACAAAGTCCATCGGGGCCTCCATGCGAATCAACCTCCTCCCAGTGAGATTCCTGGGGAGGAGATCCAGGACAATCAAATTCTTTCTTGGAGGATTCAGTCCATCTAGACAGATAAGGAATATTCATAGAAAGCCTCTCCTTGCTGTTGGAAGAGAAGGGAGTAAGTAGGAGCAGAGGGCAAGAGCAGTTTCTCTTCTCTTCAGTTTCACAGAACACAGCATGCCAGAGCCCATGATTTAGGGTACAACTTTCTGAATCCCAACATAGTGATGCCTAAATAATCATTTTCAGTTTTTGCAATCCATCTAGATATAATGAATCTGTTCACCCAGATGAGTAATAACCTGCAATTCTTGAGCAGAATTTTTAATCATGGAACTCCCTGTTTTGTCATTATCCTCATCATTTGAAGAGCCAGGCTATAAAATTCAGCATTTTTTTTTTTTAATTTTCAAAACTATTATAGGATGACCTATATTCTTTTTTATTCTCCCCCTTTTTTAAAGCAGAATTTTAAGAAGCTCTTTGGAATCCAGTGTTCTGCTTTATCTGGTAAGACTTTTTACAGGTGATAAACCATTAAAGCTCTTCTGTCTCTCTGTTGTACTGTCTACTTTCTCAAAATTTAATCAAATACGATTTTTGTATGCCTGCTTTTTTCCTCATAAGAGTTTATGCTGACAGAGGCAGTCAACACTGTACTCCACATATCAGGTAAGTGAGAAAAGCAAGAAAGAAAAACTGGTAGAGCATAAATTGTTGGCACACATCGCGAATGTGGTGTTCCTTCTTGAAAACAATGAATATAGTATTAGCTTTGATTTGATTATTGCACACTGAATGCATGCTTTGAAATTCTATATTACACCACACAAATATGTATAACAATTAAATGTAAATACGAAATTGTACAATACAATAGAAAAAAAGAAAAAAAGAAAATGAGCAAAGCCACTGGATAGCAAATTCTGCTTTTTTCCTACAGGACATTTTGGTTAATATAGTTTTATTGCACAAAGCTTGTGTTTTTATTTTCTTATATTTTGAATTATGATGATCCTTTGATTAAATAATGAGTAGTTCTTTGATTAACTATAATTGCTAATGGCTGATTTTTAAAAATGTAGTCTTTGTTATGGCCACTTTCAGATTCTAAAGGTAATAAAAATTTACTCTGAAATCTGATCTTGTAATGGTTTGTTAAATTGCCTTCATTGTAATACCCAACTGAGAGGACAAAAACAAGGAAATGCTCTCCATTCCTTATTAAACAGTGACTCATGTAACTGCTAAAATGTTTTTTAAAAATACATATAAAAATAACTCTAAAAACACATCATGATTAGATTATTTTCTTCATGCTTTATGTCCTTCACCTGCAAAAAGAACATCAATTAATTATGATCATTGTAAATAGACACATTTCAGGAGGCTATTTATTAAATACTTTGGTTGCTATACTAGGGAAAAATAAGATTTATTTTAGAGAAATATTTTGGATACTTTGAGCAAACATATTGTGATTTTCCATTAGGAGTGTTCACTGGCCAAGTAAATTTAAGAAACTATGTATAGGATGCCAGGAGATTCACTCTGTGTATGACCTTGTTAAAAGTCTGAGGTGTTGGGGGGACCAGTATTTAGCGTAATGGCTATGTTGCTGGACTCTTATGTAGTCGACCGCGGTTCGCATCCCGGACCCGGTGGCTTAAACTCACGCCGGGCACGTGTGCATGCGTGCCCAAGATCCCGAGAGGAGAATGGAGGAGAAGGGATTGCAGTGTGGCCGTCCCCCCGGGGGGTGATATCTCACTTTCTATCTCTCTGTCTCTGTCTGTCTGTCTGGTGAGCACAAAAATCTCTTAAAAAAAAGTCTGAGGTGTTTTAGAGTTAAGAAAAGACACTTGGTATGACTTAGGGTTTGCTAAAGTTCTAACTGTATAATTTTTATTATGGGAGCAAAAATGAACATCACCCAGAACTGAAGTACAGATTACTATTTAAGAGAATAAGCTCAATAGGTAATGGTCCTCTCCAAGATCTGAGAGATGAAGCTTTTCATTTTATTTGTAGAGGGCATATAGTCACCACTAATACCAAAACAACTTGTCAATGAAACAACGCATGCTTTGGAGAGCTCTTGGTTCCTATCCAGTTTGGTTAATACTCACAGCCAGCAGTAGACGATCTCTTTCAATTAAATCGGCCAACTTGTACAGTAGTCGACCCCGCTCTGAAGCATCCATAGTACGCCATGGAGAGCCGATCTGAAAAGCCTGTCTTGCAGCCTTCACTGCTTTGTCAACATCCTCCTGTAAGTCAAAGCAAATTCAATTCAGTGGGCTAAACACTGTGGATTAGCAACTTTGATGGCAACAACTGTATACCATAGACTGAAGTTTCTCATAAACAGGAATTATGTCTCCATAGGCTAGAATGATGAGTTCCAATCATCTAGCACTTGACTGCCTAGAATATAAAGGTTATAATCTTTTCATAGTAGCTATCATTAGAGGGCTTAGCATATCATTGGTAAACAATGTTACCATAGCATTTCAAGTACTGTTCTGACAACTTTACACCTATTAGCTCATTGAATTCTTAATAATTTCATAGGACAAATATGTCCCCAAATGAAGAAAAGGAAGCAAAGGCAAAGGAGACTTGCCCAGAGTCAATTATTAAAAGTAGCCGAACTGGGTTTCATACCAAGCCCATCTGACCAGGGAATTTTCTCATCATCTATTACATTCCTTTGGTGACTGGGTTACTACAGTTCCAGGAAAAGCTCAAGATTAAAAATGAAACTATCTCCTTTGGTCTCTGGTGTCTCTATAGCCTCTCTACTCTCACGAGGAGCCCAGTGAAGGGTGAATAAAAACCTTTCATTGCTGTTGAAATGTAAACATTATAAACATGTACTCATTCCTTTTGTGTAGAGGGGAAAGGCACAGTAAGTGATGCATCTGGTATGTAGAAGGGCCTGCATTTCTCAGTAGGGTACAAAGAAATGTTTTCCAATTCCTAATTAGGCAAAGGTAGTTGATTATTAAAGATGCACTGCTTAAAACTATACAAATTTGAACAAAGTCAAAAATAAAGTGATTCCACACTTAGTGTAGCCTACTTATCTTTACTTATACCATTTGTTCTCGATTGTGGTTTTTAAACCAGGCACGCTTTTCCTCCTAGGATTATTCCTCAATCCACCTCAGTTACAAATTTCACCCTGGCCATTCCATTCCCCTACAGACCTCTCTTCAGACCTTTTCTGAGCCCCTGCTGTAAACATTACCACCACTTCTTTCATTACCACTGCACATGTCCTTTTCTTTTCCCATCAAATCATTTGCAAACACCTCAAAGGTGTGGATCATTCCAAAACTTGTTTATGCGTGATAATGACCACTACATAGAATGGTGTATGTTTAATAAATCATAGCTACTCTACAGGCCACTAAGTTGTAACTTTTGAGGAATAGGGGTACAGAATTATCCTATATTCTTAAAAAGTTGCCCCAAATTAAGCTGAATCCCTTCTAAGGATGATACCTCCTTCTTGGAGAAGCATGGACCTCATATTAATATCCCTTCCCTTAAGATATATTCAATTAAGAAGCTCCAGACAGATTTCCAAATTTAAAAGCCTGCAAATACAAGCAAATCTTTTTTTTTTCTTTTTCTTGAGAGAGAGATTTTTGCTACAGTGCATATGTGCTTACCAGAAAGACAGAGAGAGACAGACAGAGAGACAGAAAATGAGAAATCACCCGTCGGTGGGAACAGCTACACTGCAACCCCTTCTCCATTCTCCTTTTGGGATTTTGGGCATGCATGTACCCATGCCCTGTGTGAGTTTCAAGCCACTGGATTTGAACTTCAAATCATAGTTGGCCATGAGGGAGTCCAGCAACATAGCCATTACACTATCTGCTGGTTCCAGCAAATAATTTTTATAGTATTTATCACCAAACTAAGTTGGTCAAGGACAAGTGGCATATTTTAAAAGTGTAATATTGTGTGATGAAGTGATAATATACGCTGACTACAAGCAAAGATTCTTTTGCTATAATACATTACATGCTGATGTAGCTCATTGTCTAACTTTTGAGAGAACAATTAGTATATGTAATAAACTATGTGCACTTATTGCTTGCTTTTCAAGAAACACATAGTGTATATTTAGGGCATTCGGTTAGTCACATTGCATACATTTGGATGTTGTTTCATATCATAGGTTCTAACATTTTTCAGGTTAAAATTAGAGAAAACTGTTAAGGAGAAGAAAAAAAAAATGCGAACCACAAGCATCCAAGATTGCCGCATGGTCTGTGGATACCACAGCTTGTGAAATACATGCTATTCTGTGTTTAAAAAGACTGTGTTACCCAGCTTTCATTTGGATCATTTTGCTCAGTGTTCTGACATTGACCTTTGCTGGACAGGCATCCTGCCCCCCAAGAGGATATGGAAAAACTGGCTTCAAGACAGTAATTCTGCCATATGGTACACATATCCCTAGACAATGCTGCTATAAATACGGACATTCTTGTGGCATGTCTTCAGGGTGATGTCCTCCTTTTAAGAAATTTTATATTTAATCTTCCAGGTGAAGAGATAGCATCATGGCAGTAAATATATAGTTTGAACAAAAGAGCACCAAAAATCAATTCTGATTCCTACTTATTAGCTATATATGTTTCAAGAGATCCAATTGTCTCTACACCTATCTAAAGAACATGCCTCTCCCAAGCATTATTTCTCACCAGTCTGCTAATGGTGGAATAGTGAAGAAAGATTAAAATATAATCAAAGAAGAGAGACATAAAATCAACTCATCATTCCAGCATGTAATTATAATTTGTGAAAAATATTTTAAAGTGAAATATGTTGTGACATGATTTCTCTAGATTCAGTTTTCTTTTATTTAAAGTTGATGTACTTCTTCCATGAATGAGAAAGAGAGAGACAGACAAAGAGGCAAAGAGACATAGAAAGACAGCACTGTCTATAGAGCCTTGATGCAGCAATCCACTCCCAGTTTTGGCCAGTGTTGGATCACAGGCACATCTGTACTCAGCATACTTAGGGAGGTCTCCAGGTACAAACCCAGAACCTTCCCATGTGCTCCAGTATTGCAAAGCTTTGCATTTTACCACTGTGCCCCTGCTTCAGCATTGCAAAGCTTTGCATTTTACCACTGTGCCCTTGTCTGATCACTAAGGTTCAGTTTTCTGGTCTTTAAAATAGAGGTAGTTTAATCTCACAGTATTGTGTAGAAGATGTGAAAATGTAACACTTGATATACATTTCATGGGACAGGCATTATGTTAATGTTTATTAAGTGAAGGAAATTATTATTGTAGTCCTAGTTACAACATTAATCTTGTATTCCTAGCTATAAAATTGATCTTAAAGTAACTCTTAGCAGTTCTAGTATATTTTAATCCTTCAGTTTTCATGATCCTATACTATTTTAGGCTTTTATTATTTCATAATGTTCATAGTCTTTCCCAACTTTATCCTCTATCTTCCACAAGCTGTCTCACCTATATCTTCTTTAAATAATTTTGTCCCATCACTTTCCTTTTCAAAGGTTTACAACTTTTTTTGTGTGAGTGTGTATAGTCCCAAGGGCAAATCCTCTGCTTAGTTTAGTTTTCAAAGCCTAATATTTGGGGCCCATCTTATCTACCCAAACTTAGAGTTCTCATTTATATTTTACTCTATTAGGACAATTCCTTTTCACCTTTTCTCTTATAATTCTCCTTGTCTGGCATGTTCTATCAGCACATTTCTTTACTTTCAAAAAAAATTAAAAACTTACATTTTAATACCCAGCTAAAATAGCACAATTTACTTAATCCCTCACCAGGCTAATTCAGCTTTATGGTAGCTATTTAAGAGCCTACTAAGCTCCAGGAACTAAGAAGTCCTTTATAGACACACAAATTACTACTATATAGTTAAGTATCAGGAATCTTGTTATGTAGGTAAGTAGACTTCAGTTCATGAATGTGAAAACCTGTAGAGTGCAGAAAAAAATGTGATGCCATATCTGACTCTAAAATCTGGTTCATATAGCTCTACAAGGCTGCTCTAATATGATCTCCTTACAATGGCTATTTACCACTATCTGTATTATAAGCTATAATACTTCTTACTATTCTGGGGCCAAAATTGGCAATTAATAAACATTTAATAATTTGGTTACCCATCTTATAAGCTCATCATGTTACACTGATTTTATGTAAGGCTACAACTTATGTAACTATTTACTCATATTACATTTATATAATAAAGCACATTTTGCTGGATTCCATCATATAATAAAACTTTTCATTATTCAGAACTCTTAGGCATAATAATTCGTGAGGTTTTTTTCTTGTTTGGTTTGGTTTATTTGTTTTTAATTTCTAAACTACAATTTCTCTTGTTTTTGTTTTTATTTTGTTTTAAATTCAGTACTGGAATTTCTAGGTTCATTTTGAATTAACTATAGATTTGCCACCATCAGGAATACTTTTGCCTATAGCATTTTAAATGCATTATTGTTGGATTTTTTTTAAAAGAAGGGCCTGTGAGCTAAATATATGAAGACAGTTCAAAAGAAGATGAGGTATCAGATGCCTCTGAAGCAGACTTATGAAGGACTGAACTCTTCAATCCTAAATGGTACGTTTCCGTATTAAATTCATTCACAGATAGAGAAAATAGTTATCAGACCAGTTTTACCTTTACACCTGTCATAGGCACTTACTTTAATGGACATTTACTATTATCCTCAACAATTATTCATTAGGTCATGCTTTAGTATTAGAAGCAGTTTTCAGGATTAGTCAAGATAGCCTAAAAGAACCATTGAAGTGAAAAGAAAACAGTTCCCACCCACACCTGTGCTTTGCTTTGCAACCTCCATTTGTTCTTGCTCCTCCTCCTTCCTTTATAATACCATTGAAAGGCGGTTTATAGTCCATTGTTAGCTCCATTCTACTCACATATTAAATCCCTAAACCTCTTGGCTCATTAGCTAAAGGAGTCAGTTCCAGAATATTAGGTTCACGGTGACTATGTGATCGACTAGACTGTACCTTTCACTACGCAATGTAAGAAGAGTTTACTGTATGTTTGTTGGTAACATTATGAGACCAGTAATAATCATTTAGAAACAAAAGATTTTGAATAATTAAAGCAAAATGTGACAAAAAGGGCCAGCAGATGGTGTGGTGGTTAAGGCACATGACTGACCACAGTTTGATTTCTGGACCTGGCCACTTGAAAAATCACACCTGGAAAGTGCATGTACAAGCCC